GCGTACGCATATGTATCGATAAGTGTAATTTCACGAACATCGTTTACGAAGAAAAAAGAGAGGGAGAGTTTCTCCTTTTTCTTCTCGTTTTTTTTGTTTGCCTCTCTCTTTCACGCAAACCATTCTTATTTTATAAGATAGATAGAATAACGGCACGTTATATATTTTGCTATGTACTTTTGCTATGTACTTTTTCATGCAATTTATTATGTATTTCTCGCGATTGCGAGGGAGAGAATTCATATAAGGTAAGATAGTACAATTTCGAACATGATACAATTCTGAAAATAAAATTTGAATTCAAATTCAAGGATCAAGTCTATTAACCTTGACCTTATATATTGTAGTGTGAAGGATTTTAAATAGAACTACCCCAAACAGGAAAAAAATCAAACTTAACCTCCGAAAATTAAATTCAAATCTTATTTCGTTCAAAATTATCACTTTATATATTTCGACGACAATTTTATTAATTCCTACCATCACTGAATATTCTATAGCATCATTAAAAGACGTTGCTAAAATGTTACAATATTGAACGTTGAAATGTTAATATTTCTTCAATACAGAATCTACATTTCACGATGTTGATACAAATTTTGCAATTTTCATTTTATATTTCTAAAAGATGTTGATTCAACATTAATGTGCTGATATTGTACGATTTTTTTTTTAACTTTCTTTCTAGTGGGCTTCACTGTATCTCATCTGCAAGATTATGGCTCGTTATCGTCATCCGCTCACAGTAGACGTGAAACGTGATCCTGCAGATAACACAATCGGCCACCTGTATTCCTATGGAGCGTTCATAATTCTTCCTATCGAACAAACAAAGGAACGGTTACTCGTCAGCAAACAGTTAACGACGTTCGCTCGACGCAGTTGCCCGCGTTCCTATCAGATTTCACTTCGGACCTTTTCTCACCTTTCGTCGCTGGTGTCAATAGTGCCGCTCGGCACAATTCCAGACGGAGGCGATAGCGCGGCATCCCAATGAAAGAACGCGATCCTACAAAGAGCGAGATCTCACAGCCGTTGTCTGGGTGACATATCCTTCTCTAAGAAGATATTCCCCGGCAATTTTAACACGTACATCATGTCGACCAAGACCATGGTACGAAGGACGAAATCCAGCAATCTGAAGTATCGCGGCGACTCCAGATTTCCACCGGGTATATACACGATCCATCTACCATCAACATGCGAGCATACACTCGGAAATAGGCCGATTCATCTGAAAAGAAGTAGCGCGTACGAAGGAAAAGAGGTAATGCAGTTTACATCAAGGGGATCACTAGCTGAAATATTGTCCCACAGATTACATGACACACACATTTCATATACTTTCATCTAATTAAAAATTTTTTTTTTCATCACATATCATTTGATAAAATATACAATTTTATTTAATATATTATACAATGATTTCTCGTAATTGCATATGTAATTATTGGATTGTATATAGAGATTTCATATGAATTTTATAATAATTTCGAAAACTCTGTCCCACGGATTATATTTATTAAGAGATATGGCTATCCTAGCGGGAATAAAAACAGTAAATTCAAAAATTTTTTTAGTTTAAAAAATAAGTTAATATAAAATCAAATTATAATAAAGCACTGGTTATAGTACATATATTAAATAAAGTTCACAAAATAATTTTTTTGTATTTTTTTGTATCCAAAATAAAGGCGCTATTAGTTTTTCTCAAAACAACGTTTTTCAAATTGGCTTGACAAATAACTTGAATAATTTTTATCCGAATGAGTTTGAATTTTAATTGCAACTTCTTAGATACATTCCGTAGAAAAGTAAATAGGGATTTTTCGATATATAAAAAACTTTTTATTTTATGAACAGTTTTTCATAAAATTTTTTTAGCAAAAAATGCAAACGTTATTTTAAATACCTGCCATTTATGAAAATATCAATATTTTCACAAACCCCTATGTACTTCTCTAGATATTTTAATGTACATTAAAAAAAAATTTTTTTTTGCTCAAAATTTGTGTGTGCTAGGTATAAAGCCCCAGAGCACCTCCAAAAAAACGTACTAGATTCTGTCATCGGTAGCGCCGTCATTTTGGATACAAAATATACAAAAAAATTTTTGTGTGGATTTTAATATATGCACTAACAAGTGCTTTAATTGATTTTATATTAAATTATTTTTTAAACTAAAAAAATTTTTGGATTTACTGTTTTTATGCCCAATTAGAGTAGCCATACCCCTTAAGTGATTGACATCCTGTCCCCAAGAAAAAATGAATTGTGATTTAATTCCTTGTTCGTTATAATTATTGCTATATTAAATAAAAAATTTTTGAAATGTCCTATTTAAATTCTGTAAAATTAAAATAGTTTTGTAAAATATTGATGGTAGATCGGGAAGCTAAGGGATAAGAGCGGCACGAGGAAATATTTGATTCCTTCGAAGGAGCCTACAGTCTATCCAAAGATCATGACAAGAAAAGAATACGAAGACCTAAAGGAACGCAGCCGCATGATCACAAAGGAGGAGAGACAAACGGCCGTAGAAACTGCGGAGAAAGAGAAGGAGAGATTGACGAAAGAGAGCTTGGCACGGAAAGAGGCAATTCGCGTTATGGACATGAAAAAGGATCGTGAGAAGGATCCAAGAACGAGAGAAATCGAGGAAGAGGCGAAAAAAAGAACAATGCACATCCTTGAGCGGGCGTACAACATGCGTCTAGAGCAAGAGCAAGAGATACAGAAGTGCAATCGTCTCATCTTGGAAACCAAATGCCGAGCTATCCGCGACGCTCAAGTAAACTGTCGATTTTATAACAGAATCCCGCATAACATTTTGATAATGTCTAATTTTCAAACATTTAGCTATCCATTTGCAGATCGCAGAAAAGAAATTGATGGGACAAGAGATTCTCGAGGAGGAGAAACGGTTGAATGACATGATAGAAGAAGAGAGGAGATGGGCAATCAAGGAAGAGTCGCGAAAGGAAGAAGAGAAGGCAGCTGAAAGACTACGATTCGCTAAAATTTTGAAAGAGCAAATCATAGAAAACGAGGAACAACGGATCCTCGAATTTGAAAAAAAACAGGAAGAAAGCCAGCTTATTAATTTAAATAATATCGCATGGCAGCAAGACGAGATCGAAAAGCTACGCAACAAGGAAATTGAAAACGCAAAGGTGCGACAAGAACTTGCAGAAGGGAACGAACAATTGAAACACTTTAAGGCTATGGAAGAGGAAGAAAACAGAATTATAGATTTAAGGTGTGTTTTTCCAAGGCTTTTAAAAATCACGTATCAATTTTTAAAATTAACTATCTTGAAACTATCTCTTTAATATTTCCTTAAAAAAATATGATTCTTATCAAATTTAACTTTTTAGGATACAGACCTATCATCGACTAAAAGAGGAGAGAGAGGCAAAAAAAGAGGAAGAGCAGAGATTAGAAAGATTGAAAAAGGAGCAAGAGAAAACTAGAATAGCGATGCGAACGGTGCAAGCACACGAGCTTCAGGTATTATATGTCAAACTTTAAAACTTCGCAACATAAATATATCTATTATGTAAGTTACACTATTATTAGACATAGAAGTTATATTAGATAGCAATATATTATATAAAAAAATTCTACAAAATATATTTTATAAACTAGAAAAATTATGAATTTCGCTAATGTAAATGCAATAATTTGCGCGATATATCATATTGCGTTACACATATCGTTCCATATACTTCTTCTATAATTACCTACATACATCCTTGCGTGTCTCAACTACCTGTTGTCGAGGGTCAATGAATCCACGAGCGCCACGTCAGGCCTCGCTCTCTACAACGTGTTCTCCTTTCGAAATTGCGCTTCGCATTTTTTTTATCGTGATTATTTCTGTTGAACAGGGAATTAAGTACCATACATCGCACTCCGTAATACTCTTTTTGTAATTAAAACTATTAACGTACATTGAACATAATAGATCAGTCCTGTTTTTCTGATGTCTATTTTTAATGCGTATATATCATAATTTATTTCAAAAAAACATTTAATGAGTATAAATAATAGAATAAGTTATTAATAACTGCGGACAAATCGCGACGATAAATTTGCAGGCGCAAATTGATGAAATCAATGCAGCTCGAGTTCAGGAAGAAGTAGAACGAGAATGGAGACGGAAAGAGAAGGAAGAAGCTTTAAAGAAATTGAAAGCTCAAAGAATTCTTCAGAAAGAAAGAGAGAAACAAATAAACAACAAGCGAATAATGCAAGCCATCGAAATCGAACGAGAGAGGCGAGAATTTGAGAGGATTGTACGTGTACAACAAGCAGCTTTTTATAAAGAAAAGAAGGAACTCGAGCAAAAGCAGCAACAGGCTTTAATTCATCGCAATGAAATATTAAAGCAGGTTTGTCTTCTATATCTGAAAAAAATATATATATTGGTTGATATATTGATATATATAACAATACGTATACATATATATTTTTATACAACACAGTATTGATAATATTCATTTATTTCGCTTGAATAGGTAAATGAAAAAGAACGAGAACGCATTGTTGAGCGGCAAAAAATGTTCGAAGAAGGCCTGGCAATACGTGCTGAAACTGCAATGCGTAAGAAGAAATTACAAGATGCAATGGAACGAAAGTGCCAAGAAATGAGAGAAAACAATGTTTCCGATATTTATATTAATGAAGTGAAACGAATGATTGAAACTATTCAATGAATTATTTCATCAAGCTGAGAAATAAATATAAGATTTAAATCTAATATATAAAAAATAATAAATTACGTATAATCTTTGATCTTTCATTATACATGTACGTAAGAAATTATATAAAATATACATATATATATAAAAGTCTAGCATTTGATTATAACTTTTAATATAACTTTTTTTCTTGTAATTATGTTTGTACATTATATATGTTAGAATTTTTACATAGCTATGTACAAGTTTATAAAAAATTTAATTGCAATCTTTCATTAAGTCTTTTTTGTTGACACATCACTTCCATATCATTAGAACATTCGGATCACGTTCGATAATATCTTCAATTTGCGCAGCAGACTGGCCCGTGCTACAGCATATTTCATCGAGACTATAGGTTCCTGTGAAATACTTGTAAATTGGATTATTTTTTGCTTCTTCGCTGCAAGATGCGCCAGGAAGAAGTACGGGATACTGTAAGAGATGATTGAATTAATATACCGTTATACAGTACACACTGCAATATGAAAGCTACTCACATTATATACTCTTCTAATAAGTCCCTCAATCAAGCCAAATTGTACCAATCTTCTTTCATTTATTCTGAGGTTTTGTGGATTGAGACGTTGACATAAGTCTTTCATACTGACGCCGTAAGTCATACTTGAATACATACGATATATATCTCTAAAATGTGCAGGCTGTCTAGCTATAAACAAAAATCATCTATAGCTTTTGTCGCGATTTTAAAACAATAATCATAACGCGTTCGAAAATCATTCACCTAGCTTAGAAGCATATGCTATACATCTTTCCTGTAATTTTACATCATCCGGCAATTTTCGTAATTTTGGTGTCACTGCATAGACGTTGCTATATTGAAATATTGGGATCAGTGTTACAACTCCATAATATCTGCAAGCAGAAGAATGTCACTTATAACATAATCAATAAGGAAATGTTATTTCTCTTGTAAAATATCTCGTACACAAGATTTTGCACGCAGCTTTTGACTAAATTATTCTCTACGTCAGCCTCAGCCGCTATGCGTGCCACATGATTAAAACCGTCGATATAAGGCAATACTTGTTGCGTGGTCAAATCCCATTGATCATTCTGGAATGTATCCCTATCTTCCAAAAATATTGGTACTTGATGATCAAGAACTGGTTTTGGCTCAGGCGCCAACCTCACAACTTTCAAATGCGATGTCATTGTTCCTTCTAACAAAATATCACACATGACATATCATGAGACATTTTAAATATATATGAAATTTACCAGTTAATGTACACATTTTGTGTAGATTCAAATCCTGCATGACTTGTGCAAGCATCTCTGCTAATCTAGTCTTGTCATCCGTTGCAGACAGAAAACAATTCTCTATTTCCAGAGCCATCTGACAATCACATGAAAATTAGATGTATAAATTGTTATATTTTCAGAATATTAAAGACATAGAAAAATCTATAAAAAAATTTACCAAGAAATCCGACATCTTCTTAACTACTGGTTCATAATGGACAGTGCGAGCATTTGCATCACAGACAAAACACAAGTTGAAATAAAATGCATTTCTTGCATATTTTTTATCATCAATCTTCACGGGAAAACCTAAGATTTTATAATCCTTTAGTGTGCTAAAAGAAAAGAAAGTTCTTAAATAAAACATAAAGAATTTGACCAGGTAACTTCTTTTTTATATTTTTACTTAAACTTACATTGTAATAGTGCTTCTTTGTAATTGTGCTTTTGGTATGATGTAAACACTGACATTATCGAAAATATCCTTAGATATGTAATTATCAGGCACCTATAAAATAACGTAATTACCATAAATTACAAACGCAAACAGAATATTTAATTATTTACATCTTCACAATGCATGACCTAACCTGGCATGTAATTTTGGGTCCCGCTATATGATGAAATTCAACAAAGAATATGCATCTAATGGGATCCTCTTGTTCCTTGTCTTCAATATTTTCCAAGGAAGTAGATGCCATTGTCTTTTTGTCTCTTTACTGAGATTTGAAAACCTAGTTAAAGAAAGAACTCATTCATCCGGTATCATTTAAAGTCAAATCCACTGCTGCCATCTAATCAATCTTAACACGTGTAAGTGAACTAAAATTGAATCACAGCTGATAACACGTGTGCTTGAGATGCTGAATTAAACACATCGAGGCATGTTTTTGGAAAAAATATTTCAAGTATACAGATCTTTTAATTTTCTAATTTTATAGAGATGAGTAAAAGAAAACTCGATGACGAGACTGGCACCGCTCTGGCGGATGTTGAGGTTAAAAGAGTTCTGTCTCGTTTTAAATCGGACACTGGCGAAGTCCTACCTGGTGGCTTGTTGGACCTGCCAGTTGATATCACTGTGGATAAATTGCAAGCAATTTGCAATGCTCTGCTGCAACAAGAAGAACCGTTGCCTCTAGCATTTTATGTAAATAATGTAGAAGTCACAGATGTATTAGAGAAGTATGTTGGTAAAGATTTCAGTATCAGCGAGGACGTAGTGGAGATTATATATCAACCACAAGCAGTATTTAAAGTCAGAGCTGTCACGAGATGTACCGGATCTTTAGAAGGTCACTAGCAATTCCATGCAGCATTCTATATCCAATAAAACGAATATTTATAAACATATTCTGTTTATATAGGTCACAAGGAAGCAGTTATATCCGTTGCGTTTTCACCGGATGGCAAACATTTAGCTAGTGGTTCTGGTGACACGACAGTCAGATTGTGGGATATCTATACACAAACGCCACATTATACATGTGAAGGTCATAGACATTGGGTCTTGTGCATTGCCTGGTCGTCCTGTGGGACTAAGCTAGCATCTGCATGTAAAAATGGCTTGATTTATTTATGGGATCCCAACACTGGCAAACAAATGGGTAGAGATATAGAAAATACATTCATCTAGCTTACTTTTTTCTCTGGCAGAAATTCTTTCTTTTTGTTGTTTATTATATAGGAAAAGCCTTGGCAGGACACAGAATGTGGGTTACATCTCTATGCTGGGAACCCTACCATAAGAATCCAGAGTGCATGTATTTAGCGAGTTCGTCTAAGGACTGCGACATACGAATTTGGGACACAAAGCGAGCACAAACCTGTCGGGTTTTGTCTGGACACACGAAAAGTGTGACCTGCGTTAAGTGGGGTGGGAGTGGTCTTATTTATTCTGCTTCTCAAGACAGAACTATCAAAGTGTGGAGAGCGGAGGACGTATGTATCGAAGATTTAAAATTATTAGCATCCAACTATATTTTCAACTGATCAAATCAATTTCAGGGTGTATTATGTAGAACCTTAGAAGGCCACGCTCATTGGGTAAACACTTTAGCCTTGAATGTCGATTATGTACTTAGGACTGGGCCTTTTCAATTGGGATTAACTGCAAACAAAACAGACAGTCCATTAGAATATGCAAAAAAGCAGTATGAAATTGTAGGTGAAGAGAAGCTTGTATCTGGATCTGATGATTTTACATTGTTCCTATGGAAGCCAGAAAAAGAGAAGAAACCTATTGGTACATTGTATGATTTTAACATACAATTAAATCAATCAACTATAAGAAATATATTGTGAAAATATTTTTTAGCAAGAATGACGGGCCATCAGCAGCTTATCAACGATGTTAAATTCTCGCCAGATGGTCGTTTAATTGCGTCTGCATCCTTCGATAAGTCCATTAAACTGTGGGAATCTAATACCGGCATATATATCGCTTCATTAAGAGGTCATGTTCAAGCGGTTTATTCGATAGCCTGGAGCGCTGACTCTCGTCTGCTGGTCAGTGGCAGTGCGGATTCAACTTTAAAGGGTAAACACTGTTAGACATACGAAAACTTATCAATTTAGGATCTTAGATAGTTGGAAGTAACATAATCCTTTCTATAGTTTGGAGTATAAAAACTAAAAAATTAAATCAAGATTTACCTGGTCACGCTGATGAAGTTTATGCAGTCGATTGGTCACCCGATGGTTTACGAGTCGCTTCAGGTGGAAAAGACAAAGTTTTACGACTATGGCAAAATTGAATTGAATATATAATTCAAGTAAATAAATTTATAAAGAAAATTATGTCTTTATCACTTATTTTTTAAATAAATTATTATTATA